GTGTGTGTGTGGGGGTGTTTGTGGTATTCGGTCTGCGAGACACAGACTCACTGACACAGAGTGTGAGGGGGGGGGGGGGGGGGGCTGGTGGACGCTGAGCGATGTCTGATGTCTGGCCATTGGAATGAGCTGGGTGGTCACATTCTTACCTCGCCACGCTGCTGCTGACTGTGTGCTGCCTTTGTGTGTGTGTGTGTGTGTGTGTGTGTGTGTGTGTGTGTGTGTGTGAGAGAGAGAGACGTTGGCAAAAAAATCTTTATTCATACAGTAACTTTTGATAACGTGAATTTATCAGTTTATTATTAATATTGTAAAAAACACTTTTTGTATAGCAAATTACATATATATAAAAAGTGTGTTATTATAATAATAATAATAATAATAATAAACTTTATTTATATATCATATAGGGGTGAGCCATATAGTCAGAATATTCTATCCCAATAAAGATCATTTCATTTCTAGATATATAACGTGATTTAACGTGATTTCTTTGTTTTGTTGTTTATTTTATTGCTTTTTATTTTTATTTATTCTATTGTTTCTTCACTTTCTTATGAAGCACGTTGAACCACAGCCCTGTAAGAAGGATGCTTTATAGATAAAGTTTATTATAGTTATCGATGATGATATTGACCTGAACCGGGAGAGAGCGCTGTACATTGTTTTTTCTTAATTTCTGATGACTGCGTATGAACTCTTGGCCGACACATTTGTCTCCAGCAGAGTTTCTGTGAACAGATGTTTGTAACCGAGTGGACGCAGCGAGTAGACTCGAGCCGGTGCCGGCTGTGAGGAGAGAACTCTAAACGCGGTGCGCTCCGTTGTTCCTCCCTCTCAGGGTGCAGAGCATCCAGCACCAGCTGGCACAGCTGGACAGCGAGAGCTGGTCGGGACGGGCCGAGGCGGACCGAGACCGGGACTTCATGCAGCTCCTGCGTGAGAAGGAGGCGCTCCTGCAGGAGCTCATCCTGGTCAGCAAGCAGCAGCACTCCGCGGAGACGCTGCTGCAGCTGGAGGAGGAGCGCTCCCGGCTGGAGGAGGAGGTGCAGAGGGCCCACAGCTCCCAGAGCCAGGGAGCCAATCAGAGGTGAGGAACATCTGGACTGCTGTTAATAGTTATTATTTTCTTATTATCACATCAGTAAATATTTGAACGGTCAATGTAAATCAGATTTCAAACTAAGATGCATACAAGAAAAAATAAATCACACACGCAGAGCTTCCACTTATCTGCCTCTGAACATATAAACTTCACAAAACTCTGTGAAAATACTGGAAGAACGCGAGATGTTTCTTTTGCACACCTCATGACAGGATCCTGCAGCAGGAGAAGAGGAACGCTCTGCTGAGACAGCTGGAGGAGGCGACACGCATCACCACCTACCTCCACTCCCAGCTGAAGAGGTGCAGCACACACACACACACGCACACACTCGGTCTTTAAGCTTCACGCTGTTCATGTTTGTCTTTTCTAGAGATGTAACGGACTGTTATCGATCTGTGATCTGTACCGACCCCCTCACGGTTTAACGTTAGCCATCACAGTGTAAATAAAGTTGTACTGACTCAGTAGAACATGTGTTTCTAGTCTCTGACCTCTGATCATGTTTCATTGTAAACAACCAATCAGTGTTTAAAGCAACAGGACGAGAGCTAGTAACGTTAGCAGCACCGCTAACGGCTAACCAACAGGAG